TTTGTGCAGGTCTCATTCTGCCGAAAATGGTGCTATTATCGTTGGCTGTTACGGCATGTATTCTTGTCGTATCACTAATAGCACGGTAGTCAAATGGAAAAATAACGAGACAGCAATTGTACAAAATGATCTTAAAGTAAACTTTAGTAATGTCTTAACTAATGGACACAGTTAAAACTAAAGTTTATCAGCAGTTTTTTTTTTTAGATTGTATAATGCCATGGTACTCTACCCAGGTTGAAGGATAAATTCTGCATATTATTATCAATTCAATAAATTTGCTAATCTAATGATTCATTCATGTAGCTGAAATCATCAATGCTTGTTAAATAATTGAATCAATTTTATCTATAATCTTAGTGAATCACATTCATTAGTGTAGTATAATGTAATTACATCTGTGTAAAGTTACACTATAGCACCTTACATACCCAAAATCACCAGATTCAAATTTAAATATTTCAATAAATTTACACTGCAAGTAAAATTCAAGATCAAATCGGAATGGTTTAAGGTAAACTCGAGCTGGAAAGAGCGTGCGAGTGGCGATTGAAATCATTGACGGAGGCATATATTTTGAGAAAAAAATTGATTTTTCTCCAGACAACTGTTAGACTATAATGTGTACTGAAGACATCAGTCATGTCATCGGGAATTTTTTTTTTTGTTTTTTTTTTTGGCGATTTTAATTCAAATTTTTGGCAATTTTAATTCAATGTTTATTTTACTCCAAAATCTTTTTTATGTTCATTGTGTTATATAATGTACAGTAGTGTCTATTTAATGCTGAAGAAATTTTGTCAAGATAATTTTCATGGTCAGGAGTACATAAAAGTTTTCTCCAGGCTTGTTAACTAAAAATATTGGTTTCAACAAAATGTGTCCCTTTTTTTAAGGTAAATTAAGTATATGTACCAGATAAAAAAGTTAAGGCCTACTGTATGCTATATCATTTACCAATAGTGACTCAAGCGCACAGCTGAACAGAAGGAGTAGGCCTGGTTTAACATTAAGACAATCAATTAAATTTCTGCCATAATTTTTCATAGTTGGCATCACACGGTGATTAGGCCCGGCCTTGTACTTATTTAAAACTGCCCAGCAATACAAACAGTCTCTTACACTGTACTGTATGTATTGTATTGAAAGTGCTCAACAACTGTACAGTTACTACAGTACCAATGCTAAATAGTGACAAAAATATGCTAAATAAAAATTATGTGCATGTTTGCAATCTTATTCAAATTTTAATGTATCTTCTTCACTCTAAATGTTTTAAATCTTGCTTTTTTTTAGGGAGGGGGAGGAAGAGGCAAGAGAATGGCAGGTTGATTTTTTTTCTCTTATTATAATCTCATTTCTTAATACCTTGTCAAGAAATTAGGATTTTTTTTTAAATTTAACAAATGTGTAAGTCTATCAATTGTTTTTTTTTTTTACTATTATGATAGAATAGGATATAAGTTTAGGTTATTTATTAAATCTTAAATTTGTGCAAGTTCTTTTACCTTATTTTTACTATATTTTATGCCTATTCTACTAAAATATTTTAATTAAAACTATTTTCAACCATCTAATATTAGGCCTAGTATAATTATACTGATTATAAATAAATGTAAAGTAAAAAATCTACTGTAAATTCTGACATCATACAATATAAATTTGAGGATTTTCTTTTCATTAAACCAAATAATGTTTATGGACTACATGAATGTACAGTATTTCAACATGTGCTAAGCTCCAACATTATGATGATACCTAGGTCAGGTCACCAGTGATTGCAAATAAATTCATCAACCAATTATTCTGGAAGGCTGTCTAATCTTACAAGCAACACCAATAAAACAAACGACAAATATGCATCAACAACTGAATGATATCATAATTTGTCATGACATACCACCACCTCATCATGCCTAACATATAAATTAGCGAAATTAAAACATTTATCACCACTACTCATGAAACCAGTGATGAAAGATAGCCAGTGATATTCAAGGTCTCAACAACCTGGTTATGTTTCTACAGCCAACAGACTAATTGAAATTTCCTTTAATTTATTTTATCTTCCTTAGCTTGATAGATATAACATGCAGGGAAGATCTTTACACACAAATGTCCATGCAATTATTTATCAAGGAATGTCGATCACAAAAGCTTATCATTTAATAAAGGCAAGTCTAGCCAATCTGTAGAAATTAATGGCCCTAATGAATCAAAAATTAATATCTTTTGACATCCTTTCTCACTAAGCAAGTACAGGTACTGTAAAATTAAATAAAAGAAATTCAAATTTTTAAAAAATGCATTTCTTGTTTAGGGTTTTCAAAAAGTTGACGCTACACATACCTTTATTATTATTTTTATTACAGTAAAAAAATTACTGTACATCAAAGCAGTTGCAATGTTGTGCGATAAATAAACATGAAATTGGTAAGGAATCGATACGTACAGTACAGGCAGGAAATATCGCTTCGTATCTGCGCGTAACCACCATTTTACAACCAACGGACGTTAATTCTCCTTTATATTTATTATTTATCTTACTAAATCAAGACTACAAAATAT